TGTTGCGATTCCAAGTCAGGGAGTTTCAGAAAGACCCCCTCAAGGTGCCACCCTCTCACTGAACCGTGCCACCCCTCGCCTCACCGCCCCCACCCTACTTCCATTCCCCACCTCTACTCATGCTGAGCCCTATCTTTGCCACGTCCCTCATCCTGAGCCCTATTGTTGCACCACCTCACTGGGCCCAGATTACTTATGTTTTTTGATTCACACATCCCCCTCACCTCTACCTTATGCTGAGCCCTGTCGTCGCCACACCCCTTGCGATGAAATCACTTCGTCACCCCGTTAGGGCTCTAATCTACGTATGCATGCTTTAATTCCCATTACCTCACTCCCCAACATCTGTCCTACTCCCACTCCAATCTTGTCCCCCCTTCCCTTCTCCATTCCACCCTCCCCGTCCATGTCCCCCCTCCCTTCGCTCGCATGGGTACAGGAAGGCATGTCTCTCCTTCCGTATCCACAGGTTGCGATCTACTGGCAGGGCTGAAGAAGATGAAGATTCTCCTCATCCCCCTCCCCCTCCTAAGATACAGAACCGGAGGAGAACGAGGCCGCTCTCCCAAATCGGTAAGTAGGTAGGTCCGCCAGCGTAACTCTTGTGCAGCCATGGCCCTCGCGTAGATCTCAGCCTCACAACTGGAGTTGAGAACAGAAGACGAACTGGTAGACCTCCAGCCAAGAAACTGAGCTGGAGCCAAGGCTGAAGGTGTAACCCTGTGACGACCGCTGAGTCATCTGGTCATCCGCCCAAGAAGCGTCTGAGTGTCCAGTAAGGACAACTGGACCCTATTCTCCAAGCACAAGCCCCATGCCTGATGTACTGCACAAGTAATGCAGTGCCCTCTGAGCATCTGTCTAGTGCTCCTTCCGGTGTCTCCAGAGCACAACGAAGCGAGCAAGGATGCTGAGAGGGTACGCGAGGTCAGGTCGTGTGCACGTCATCAGGTACATGAGGTAGCCTACAGGCTCTGGATACTTACCACTCGGCTCTACAGACTCGTCCGAAGGTGGAGCTGAAAGCGAGTGGTTCGTAGGCAGAGGAGTGGGCTGTGGCGAGGAGAACTGAAAGCCGAAGCGCTGAAGGACCTGGTGCACCATGTGTGACTGAGTCAGAGTGATGCTGCGTCGTGCTATCTCCCAGGTGATCTGCAAGCCAAGATAGTTGCGCAGCTCACCCGGGTCAGTGCAAGTGTGTCTCTTATGCTGCTCCGCCTTCACAAGGGCCAGTGCCTCAGTGTCAGCAGTAGCAAAAACCAAGTCGTCGACGTACAGGAGGATGTAGAACGGCGGCAGCAAAGGGTCAGTGCGCAGAAACAGCGTCGGTTCAGCAGTCGAAGGAGCAAACCCAAGAGCCGCAAGTGTAGTCCTTAGTGTGTCGTGCCACTCGCGGGGTGCCTGGCGGAGACCATAGACTGGCCGCCGGAGGCTCCACTGGGTACCCTCAGGAAACGACCCAGTGAAGCCATGTGGGCGACGTAACCAGATCTCCTCGTGTAGGCTGCCCTGCAAGAAAGTTGTGCTGAAGTAAGTGAGTGGAGCTCGTAGTCACGCTGTGCTGCAACGTGCAGTAACACCCGAAGAGTAGTCATCTTCGGGGTGGGGGAGAAGGTCTGGAAAAAGTCGACCCCCTTGTCGCTGACTGAAGCCTCGTGCAACGTAACGCGCCTTGAAGACAGGCGGAGAACTCGGCGGCCGCTTCACCCTGAAAATCCACATGCCATCGACTATGTTCGCCCCAGGTGGGGGAACTGCGTCGACGTATGTGCCTGTGGACTTCCAGGATGCCATCTCTGCGTCCATGGCTGTCTGCCACTGAGAGGAGTAAGGACCCGTGATCGCCTCTGCGTAAGAGCGCGGAGTCGGGATGTCTAGTGCATCCAGGTCTCCCTCGAGGGCAAGCAGCATGGCAGCGAGATGAGGTACAGCAGCCGCAAGACACTCGAGCTCAAACTGCCTGTCCTCAAGGACGTCCGTGCTAAGGGCACACTCACCCCCGACGGACGGAGGACAGTCAGACTCAGACTCAGTGACAAGACTCGCGACGTAGTCGAGACGACACGCAGCAGCAAAGTCAACAAGCTCAGCGACTAAGGCAGACGCAGCAGTAGACTCAAAAGTAGGGTCAGTGACAAAAGTGGCGAAAACACGCGTAACAGTGGGACTAGCAACACGAGCACGGTCAGACTCAGGGCCAGGAACGTCAGGAAGTGAGGACGGAGGTGGAGACGGCAGGGGGACACGCTGTGGAACAGAGGAAGGACGAAGTGCCATAGTGTGAGTGCCGGGGACAGGAGGAGGACGCGGACGAGGAACACGACGACCAGTGCGAACAACGCGAACAGGCGAGGCAGGACGAGACGCAGGCTCACGACGCTCTGTAAGAGAGTCTGTCTGCTCAGTGTAAGGAGAAGGAGCAGGCAGCGGGGGGTCTGGCTGTAACTGTGGCTGTGACTTGTCAGGCAATGGACACAGTAAGGGAGGAGTAATGCCAGTAGAAGACAGGAGTCTAAGGACCTGGAGAAGTGCCGAGCCAGGTGGTGGCAGAGACGACGGTGGCGACGGAACGAAAAATGGTCGCCGCTGTGCAGTACCCCCTGCACCAACACCTCCAGTGCCTCCAGCACCAGTACCTAGAGCTCCAACGTCTCCAGCACCAGTACCTGCAGCTCAAGTAGCTCCAAACCTCCAGCTCGAGTGCCTCCAGCACCAGGACCTCCAGCTCCAGCGCCTCCAGCACCAGCACCTCCAGCACCAGTACCTCCAGCACTAGTACGCCTAGTACCAGTGTTACCAGCACCAGCGCCTCCAGTAGCTCCAGAACCTCCCCCTCCAGTGCCTCCAGCACCAGCACCTCCAGCACCAGCACCTCCAGCACCAGTACCTCCAGTACTAGTGCCACCAGCACCAGCGCCTCCAGTATCTCCAGAACCGCCATCTCCAGCGCGTCCAGTATCAGCACCTACAAAAACTCCACCTCCAGTGCCTCCAGCTCCAGCGCCTCCAGCACCAGCACCTCCAGCACCAGCACCTCCAGCACCAGTACCTCCAGTACCAGTACCTCCAGTACGCGAGCGGCACCGCCGAAGGTACCACCCACGAGGCTCCTGTTGACGAGACTGCCGCAGCTGGCCGTCCGCAGAGCCACGAGCAGTGGTACGAACGACCCCACCGCCACTAGAACGCTCAGCACCCCCAGACCCAGCACCCCCAGACGCAGCACCCCCAGACCCAGCACCCCCAGAACCAGCAGCGCCAGAGGCGTTGCCTGCAGCGTCCACACCCCCAGGGTCACCACCCGCAGCAGCACCAGGGTCGACCGCGACAAGCTGCAAAGGCGGCGAAGACGGTCGAGGCAGGAGGTCTCCAAGCAAGGTAAGCGGTGAGTGGTCGCTGTGTCGTCAGTAGCAACGCCGCCCCCCTCAGCTGGGCCAGAGGTGTCAGAGGTGACCTCCAAAGGCTCAACCAAGGGGGGTGGGTCTACCTGAGACACACCTGAGGGAGCAGGACCTGGAGGGGGGAGGGGGTCTACCTGGGGAGGACCTGGAGCGAGGAAGAGTGGCAGGGGGGGGAGCGGGGAAGTGCGGTAAGGAAAGAGATGGTGAAAGGAAACCGACTCGTCAAAGGTGACGTCTTGAGAGGACAGGACGCGGCGCGAGGCTGGGTGGTAAAACTGCCAGCCAGGCGCGTCGGTGGGAAAGCCAAGGAAGACGCAGGGAATGGCGCGAGAGGAGAGCTTGTCCGCGGAGGTATCGCGAACAAGGGCATGCGAACCCCACACTCGAAACGCCGATGCATCGACAACCTCCCCCGTCCAACGCAGATTAGGCGAGGTCTCCGGCACGGAGACACGGGGCCAGAGGTTGAGCTGATGGGCGGTGTATCGGACCGCAAACGGTCACAGAAAATGGGGAGCTGCCATATGGATCATGGAGGTACGAGCCACCTCCATGACTAAGCCAATGCAGCGCTCAGCAATCCCATTCTGCTGCGGGGAGGCCGGAAGCGTGAACGACTGGGCGATGCCCTCCCCATGACAAAAAGCCTTAAGGAGACGGGAGAAGAACTCACCACCTTTGTCAGAGTGCAGACGCAGGACAGGAAGGTCCTGCTGGAACCGAGCACGGAGCTGGCGACAGATAGTGCGGATCTAGGGGATCAAGACATTAGGGACATCCGCCTTGCTGCGCAAGGGGAAGACCGTCGTGTACCGCGCGTCAACAACCAGTAGAAAGTAGCGCTCACGGTCCTGTCCACGAACGCGGGCTGGGCCCCACACGTCCATGTGGAGAGTCTGCAGAGGAGCAGTCGTCGGGGGAAACGAGGAGGAGTGAGGAGCGGCGCACTGCCGCCCCTGGACGCAGGGAAGACACGGCGGTGCAAGCGAGCGAGGGAGAGGGGGCAGGGACCTGGGGAGGCCAGAGACAAGGAGACGTGAGTGCATGCCACGCAGACGCGGCAGGGAGGGGCGACCAAGTCGTTGGTGCCAGAGAAGAGTCCGGTGCGTGAGAAGCCGACACGAGCAAGACGCAGCTACCTGACCTGACGCAGACACCTGACCAGACGCAGTGACCTGCGTAGGTGCAGTAGTCAGTGTGTACAGGCCAGACCCAGGTCTCCGTGTGAACGTGGCAAGGTGGCGGTCTGAGCACACGTACCGATCGCCACACGCTCACCGCCAGGAGTAGTGGTAGTGACCATCTCCACCTAGAGGACAGCGGTACTCACCAAGTTCGTAGAGAACGAGGGGAGGTGGAGACCTGAGAGTGAGCCAGAGGTGACTGCCAGACACGGAAGAACAGTGGAGGCACGTGCAACGACTGGGCCCCTAGAGGGGTCGGCCAGAGAGATCGGGACAGGTGCAGTGAGCAGTGTGACTGTGGTGCTGTCTCGAAAGAAACAGCGTGACGCGCCTGAGTCAAGTGTGAAAGTGTGCAGGGCCTCAGCAGGACTAGTAACTGGGACAGCAGATGCACTAGCACCTAGAGCAGCAGCATCTATACCAGGATCTGGAGGCACACACAAGTAACAGTCACTCTCACAAAGCTGCTGGGGCGTGAGCGTCTCAGGCCGGCGCTGCTGCTGCCGCTGTCCACCCCCCGAGCCTCCACTACCGCCACCGCCGCCTCTACTGCCACCGCCGCCACCACCGCCACCACCACCGCTACCACCACCACTGCCGCCACCACCTCCACCACCGCCACCGCCATCACCACCACCACCGCCGCCGCCGCCACCTCCACCACCGCCACCGCCATCACCACCACCACCGCCGCCACCACCACCTCCACTGCCACCACCTCCACCACCGCCACCCCCACCACCCTTGCCCCCCCTTGCCCTTGTTGCTGCGGCGCCTCCCGCTAGGAGCAGACGCTGCACCAACCCCCTCAGCATGAAGCAAGTCAACAGTAGCAGCAGAGGCAACAGAGGGCGCAAGAAGAGAGGGAGAACACCCCTCAAAGAAGGGAGTACGTGGAGTGCCACGAGAAGCAGCGATAGCTACGGCACTAGTCTCAGCCGTGAGGAGCTGCTTCTCTAGCAAGTCGACAGTGAGCTCGGTGGGGTCAAGGGCGAGGAAGTGATCCCTAATTGCGTGAAGAGAGTCAGGGAGGCGGGCGACGAGGGAGTAAAGGGTGAAGTACATAGGGGGCGGGTTTGCAGCAAGAAAGGTGGGACTGAGAGCAGCGCGGAAGCGGGTGTCACTAGAGCGAAGGTGGGTGACGAGATCGGCGACAGTGCGGAAGTCGGATAGCTCGGGAAACAGATCCGGCAGCATGAGACGGCCTAGGGCAGCAGTAAAGGGGGAAGAGTAGCGAGCTACAACGACGTCATAGAGTACTTTGACGGTCTTAAGATGGCCAAAATGGGCCCGTTCATCTAGCGAGAGGTGGTTGTGTATAGCAAGGCGAGCAGTAGCATCTCGGGTAAGCCACTGCAAACGAGTTAGGCAGGCAGGAGCGGGTAGGGACCCTGACGTCTGCTCGAAAAGAGAAACTCCATCGCGAGATTCGCTCTGTAAGTACAGTTGAAGGTCGTCGAGCCAGGTGTGTAACCTAATCGGGTGGCCCTCTGCATCGAAGGTAAGAACTGAGATAGTCGCCATCGTAGGGGCAGTAATAGGGTCGGTGCGGGCAGGGCGGCGCGGCACGGGCAGTAAAGGGGCACGCGGCTCGGGCAGGGCGGCGCGGGCAGGACGGCGCGACTCGGGCAGCGCGCGGGCTGTGCGGGCTGCGCGGGCGATGCGCGGGGCAGCAGGGGCGCACTACCGCTGGGCAGCAGGGGCGCGCGACGGGCGTGCAATAGGCGCGCGCGATGGGCTGGGGCAGGGCGCACGGGCTACGCGACGGGCTGGGGCAGGGCGCACGAGCTATGCGACGGGCTGGGGCAGGGCGCACGGGCGACGCGACGGGCTAGGGCAGGGCGCACGGGCGACGCGACGGGCTGGGGCAGGGCGCACGGGCGACGCGACGGGCTGGGGCAGGGCGCACGGGCGACGCGACGGGCTGGGGCAGGGCGCACGGGCTACGTGACGGGCAGCAGGGGCATGCGACGCGACGGGCAGCAAGGGCACGCGACGCGACGGGCAGCAGGGGCACGTGCGCTACGGGCAGCAGGGGCGCGCGATGCGCGGGGCAGTTGTGGCGCGTGCGAAAAGACAGCAGCAGGAGCAGGTGGGGCAGGGCGTACGATAGGGCGCGCGGTAACCGTAGTTGGTCACTAGCTAACGGTGGGCCCTAAAAAAAAAAAATAACGGTCCTAGTGACGGACCTGCTCTGAAACCATGTCAGAATCTAACAAGCAGGAATGGGTTCACTAGCAAGGCATGAGAGTACAAGTACCTAACCCTAAAAGGGTTGCACCCTATATGGGCTACCCCACTGCAGCCTATATACATATAAATTAGTTTTGACAATTGCCGCACAATTTCCTGAAGCTTCTTGATGCATCCATGGTGACCCATCCCTCTCACCTTCCCCCACCTTCGCCCCCGTTAACTTCTCCTACATGGCACCATCTACCAGGCAGTCTTGACGCAGCCCTCCCAACCATCCTATCAAATGCCACGACACACAGAAGCATTCCAAGCGCTCCCTCTCCCCTCCCTCCTCCCCCCCCCCCCCCCCCCCCACCCTCCCCTCTATTCCCTAGGCGTTCTTGACGGGGCCCTCTCACCCATCCTATCAGATTCCGCTGCTTGCAGCATTCCCGTGGTTGTGGCTCTCTTGCGGCGCCACCTGGCCAAGGTTACTGCAGGCGCTCAATGTGGTGGGGTGGGGTGTTATCGGGTGGAACACGGTTAGGATGGCAAAAAGGAATGTGCATGGGTGAGGGGTAATGCGCGTGGCACTCCCATGCTACACTCTCCCGCCTCCATGCCCAGGTGAATAGAGGCTGATGTGCGATGTTGATGCTATCAAGTATACATATGGGTGAGGTGTTGCTTCTGTCACGTAACACACGGTGAAGTGAAGCATAAAGGGGAGTGTGTGTGCATGAGGTACAAGGGGAATGGATAATGGTCACATCATTTCCTGATGATGGCTGAGCTGGGCTGTTGGGTTTATCGTGGTAGTGCATGCGTGGAGGCTACGGAAACGCACGCGGCAAATATGTGGTCGTCGCTCTCTCCAAATGCCGCCTGGGCGAGGTGAGTACTGAATGTGTGGGGTCAGCATGTTGGCACGTGGATTTGGGGCGCAATCAACACACAGGGGAGTTTTGAGGGGCCTAAAAAATATTAGACGTGCCCTCACATCTGTCGTGTTTTTAAGGCACCTCTAAAGCAGAGACCCAGGCTGCATATTAGTGCCTTCACCCACATGTTCCCCCTCTTCTTGTCGGCCGCTGCAAGAGTATGATGGCTCTGCCTACATGAACTTATCCATATAAACTTTCTTATGCATTATCTCCCTTAGCTTTATTGTATTATGCATGCCTTTGCTTGCTTTCTTAGACTCGTTGCTTGAACTATAATTATTTCAGTTACAGGCACCAAATAGTTCGTGTGCACCGAGTTCTGTGCTTTTAGGTTGCCTTCGAATTGCCTTCTTTTAGTGCGACCTGCGGATCTTCTAGTAACACCCTGGTTACTACCTTTGTGTCAAGCCCTATATATAGCCTCGTTCCTTGGATCCCCACACTTGGTAATCAGAGCTCGTTTATACGCGATATCTTCAACCGATAAAATCCGGCCTTTAAGTAACCGCGGGGGTGACGACAAATGCGCCGATTCTGGTATGTAAAACCATTTCCGCGCAATTTTTAGAATCCCCCTCGATCCGGTTTTCGAACACCTTTCAGATTTATTGGCAGAAAGGTTGGAATCTCGACCATTAGATCAATTCGAATCTCAACAGCCCAGAGAATTTCGCTAAAAAAAGGTTAGAATTTGAAGCGTCGGATCGAATTTTTTCGCAACGGCCGAGATCGGACACGAAATAAACTAAGGGGGAAATGCGCGATGAATAGAATTCGCATCTAGAGACTTAACAATCGATTTGCTTCGCAGAAAGTCAACCAACGCCTAGAATTCGATTGTTTTTGTCACACATCTTCATGAAAATCGCCAAACGGAGGGAAATTGTGAGAGTACGACGGCTTATGCTGGCTTTGCTAGCTTGCCTGGACTTTATTATGTTATTACTAGCTTAGCTTTATTTTATCTTGCATGCTTTTGCTTGATTTCCTAGATTCGTTGCCTTTACTATAGTTATTATAGTTGTAGGCACCGAACTAGGTTGAGTGCACCAAATTCTAGGCTTTTCGGTTGCCACCGAATTGCCTTCTACCGAATTCAGGAAGGACCCGTTCGGGGCGCTCGCGACCCGCGGAACCTTCTAGTAACACCCGGGTTACTGCCTTTGTGTCGAGCCTATATATAGCCTCGCCTTGTACCCAGGTGAATCATTCAATAGAATCATCTTTCCTGAACCAGATCCTCACACTTGGTACTCAGAGCGATTTACACGCGAGGTCTTCAACCGCGTAGTTCCGGCCTTTAAAAACCGCGGGGGCGACGACGAAGGCGCCGATACGGGTATGTAAAACCAGTTCCGCGCAATTTTTCTAAGTCCCCCTCGATTCGGTTTTCGAACACCCCTCAGATTTTCTGGTGTAGAGGTTGGAGTTTCGACCGTTCGATCGAGTTTCATCTCAACGGCCCAGAGAATTTCGCCCCAAAAAGTTGGAATTTGGAGCGTCGGATCGAGTTTCTTCTCAACGGCCGAGATCGAACGCGAATTTCAACTAAGAGAGATCTACGCGACGTACAGGATTTGCGCTCGTCGATTTTACAGTCGATTCGACTCGCAGTAAGTCGACCAGCACCCATAAATCAATTATTTTCGTCGCGCTTCTTTCTGTAAATCGCCAAATGGAGGGAAAAAGAGATATTTCAGTACAGAAAATCGCGGAGTTACGTGCCGAGCATAAGCAGATACGTGCGGCGCTCCCACGACTCGAGAAACTCCTTGCGAACCAGTCGGCAACCGCCACAGCAGCAGCGAATGCAGCAGCGACAGCAGCAGCAGCGGCGACACCGACAATTCTACCTGCGACAACGGCAGCAGCTACAGTTAACCTCGAAGCAGTGAAGCTGAGGCTACCGGAGGCGTTCGATCCTATAGTTAAAGGGAACGACGTTCGTCGATTTGTAGCTGAACTCGAAATTTACTTCGAAGCCGTTGGGTGCACGACCCCGACAGAAGACGCAATGCGCATACGGCTCGCAGCAACACTGTTACAAGGCCCAGCTCTAGAGTGGATCAACAACAGAATAGTCCAAGGCGAAGGGACGTGGGCGCAGTTTCGGGCAGCACTGATCGAACAGTTCGACACGTTGAACAGTAGCTACTACGGAACACGACGCAACAAGCCAACTAGTGGCATGGGGCGATTGGCACCACCCACGACTGCTGAACCGATGGAGAACGACGAGGGCGATGTGGAGCAGCGGCTAGCAAAAACTGAGACGTACAAATTTTGCGGCGCTACAGGACATCGTATCTTGGCGTGTTGGGAAATGAAGGGAAGGCGTGCGGAGCTGAGATACAAGAACAGTGCGGCACCCCCGAAGCAGAAAACGGACAACGTGGCAACTTCGGAGAGGGCAAAAAAAGGAGAATATGATGGCGCGAGTTTAAAACGTCACGACCAGCCGGCACCAGGGGAAATCGCCGAGACAAATGGAGACTCCGCGAAACAAGACCCTGCACCGACTGGGAAACTCCAGCCGTACACCCCGACAAGTAAGAATATTACTTCTCGTGGGTTTCAAGCCTTTATTAAGGGAGAGTCAGAAATTAAACCGGTACCGGGTAATATGGGGACCCTACTCCGGAGCGCTAACAAGGGTCGAGCGTTCCGAGGAGTTAATATTCTCTCCCAGCAGCTCTGTTTAAAGGCTCCCTGTTCCCCACAGATGAAGCCTACACAGCTGCAAAGGCCTAGGGGAAGGTTCCAGGCTCAAGAGAAGCTGTACCAGCCTCGGATAAATCCTTCTAACCCTACTCAGGTGATACCTGATATTGAAGCTGCATCTTCGAGCGCAGGACCTAGGGATGACATATTCGACGTACCCTACGATCCTATAAGCGATACCATCTACGGCTACTCGGAGCAGCAACAGCCACTAGTACTCGAGGTGATCTGCAACGGGCGACGCCTCCAGACACTGGTGGACAGTGGTGCGTCCCACTCGGTGTGCGACTGCGGGACGTTGGAGAAAATTGAAGAATCCTCAGAAGAGACCCAGTTTACAGCAACGATGGTGGACGGTACGAAGCTTCCCATCCACGGCGAGTCAACACTGCAGCTACAGATAGGAGCGTTAAGGTGGAAGCCGACGTTGCCGATCACGAACATCAAGGGATTATATTTCATCTTGGGGCGTGATTTTCTGAAGCGGTTCAACCCCGAGATCGACTGGGTCAACCGGAAGGCGTGTATCTACAACAACGGGAAACGTGTGAAGCTGCAAAGGTGGACGGATACAGGGGATACTCCTCATCAGCAAGCCATGGAGCAGCTACAGACAGCACTGACTACAGCGCCAGTACTCATCCTACCGAATCCAGACAGAGACTACGTGGTGGAAGCAGACGC